AAAATAACGAACTATATGTCTATCACTTAAGGTCTGCCCAAATCCGAAAGCAGATCCCCAACAAACCTAAACTTATTTCTATATATATATATATATATATATATCAACCTCAACCTTGCTGTTGCAGTGAATTCTTGATTTAGCAGAAGAGACCAAACGTACAAGGCAGTGGGACAACATTAATTAAAAACTAGAAGACTAAGTAAATCAAAGAAGAGGGCAGGGGGGAGAGGGGAGACGCTCCTCCGTCCAGCGGCTAGCTAAGGTTTTTTTTCAAAGAATTGTGAGCATTAGACAAAGTTTTTGATACTAATAATTTGATTGTTTGATTAAAAAGAATTTGATTCTATATAAATAAAATCTTAAATTTAAATTTTATATTTCAATAATATTTTTATTTTTTGTTTTTAAATTGCAGAATTTCAGGGATGCACTATGCCACCATCCAATGCAGTTAATGCTGCAAGTGCGATAATGTTTTCCTTATGTCATGTGTTCTAATGATATTTGGATCGACTAGCATGATCAACTCATGTACTTTAGTCATTCATTTAATACAAATTTGGGGAAACAACAATGGGGATGAGCCAAGAAGGAGACCTGGTAAAATTGGATTCAATCTCAAAATTTGATCAAATTTATCTGTTATGGATCGGGTGATGGGTCTTATGTGTCAATCCGAAATTCAAAATAATCCAGACTGAAATTATCTAAACTCAAATGGGTTGAGTCACAGGTGGGTCGAGTCATCCGAAATGATCCGAACTTTTTTTTTTATTCTTTATTAGATTATTTAAAAATAATTTTAAATTTCTAATTTTAAAAGTAAAAATAAATAAAATACCAAAACTCTAATCTCCTTTCAATTTCTCTTTCTCTCAACTTTTCCTCTTCTCCACTCTTACTCTCGCCTTCTTCATCTCAAGTTCTTTAATCCTTCTCTTTGGTGGTATTACATCAAAAATCAAATTATGTGGCACATAGTGAGTTATGTCAAATGACATTATCAAATTAAAAAAAAAAAGAAAGCAAGAATGCTTACTAAAAATAAAAGACCAATGATTGAGGAACTCTCATAATCATTAGAAGCACAATGATAAGAACCTCAAAAACATCAAGGTTTGATCTTAGTTGCTAATTTGTTCTAACTTACTAATTTGTTCTTAATTAATAATTTTTTTCTAGTCAATAAAAATCAATCCCAATCCAATTTCTTCTTGTATTTGTTTTGACATATTTTAATTTATCTTTTAGACTTTAATATTAAATAAGGCTATATTTTTGTATAATACCTTTTTAAATATTGAATAAAATTGTATTTTTTGTATAATATTTTATAAATATTGAATATACACTAGATATTGACATATATATTGAATTTATTTTTTGAAGTCTAATCCTTCATGTTTCTTCTTTTAATGAAGATTCATGTCTCTTCTTCTAATGAAGGTTAATGCCTTTACAAAATTATAAATTCTAACTATTGTATAGATATTATATATTTGATATATATTTTAGTTCCACTTATATAATTAATAAT